TTTTTTTTTTTTTTTTTTTTGAATAGGGTCTTACTATGTAGTCCCTGCTGGCTGGGAACTCCAGGCAGTCCTCGTGCCTCAGTCTCCCGAGTGCCGGGATTATGCCACCATGCACAGCCATCTGCACCGATTTTAGACATACGGTTTTATGCTTCAGGGTTTCTTGTTCTATTAAGAAAAGTAAGGGTAGGGCTGAGGATTTAGCTCAGTGGCGCCGCGCCAGCCTCGAAAGCTTAAGGTCCAGACCATGCCCGATACCCACCCCCCTCAAAAAAGAAAACAAAAGGGCCAGTTGTAGTGGCCTAAACCTGTAATATCAGCTACTCGGGAGTTGGCTAACGTGGCAGGAGGACCAAGTTAAGCCCAGCTTGAGCAACTTAATAAGATGCTGTCTTAGTTTTTTTAAAAAAGAAAAAGGGGTGGAGATGTAGCTCAGTGGTAGAGCACTGGCCTAGCACTCAAGAGGCCCTCGGTTCCGCTCCCGAGGCTGGAAAAACAAAACAAAAGGTTTAGAGAAGAAATTCTGGAGGAAGGAGAACTAGCGGAGGGACCGATTTTGGGGAGATGGCGAGGGCACCTTCACGGTGTAAGAGGCCACTACATGCCCACTTCCTCCTCCGCACCAACAGTCCAGTTCCGATAAAGGCTCGGCGAGACAGTCTCTCCAAGCATTAGAATCCCAGCCCTGACTTCTTATTCCTCAAAACGGTGCTCCGCTGTCATACAAGCCGTCCTTAGGAGTGCCTGTGGAGTCCCGATCAGGAAGAAGGACGCGGGCCGGGCTCCACCCAGCAGGCCAAGGTGGCTACGGGGACCGAGACCCCTTCACTCCTCCGCTGAGGAGGAGGAGGAGAAGGAGGAGGGAAGTTCGGTGTCCCCAGCCTCCTTCCCACCTCGGCTCAGCCTCTAATCTCCAGGACACTGCGAAAACCGCAGCCGGAGGAAGCACGAGCCCGAGTCTCTTGACATCGGGAGCCAGCACTCAAGGACCCCACCACTCGACCCCAAACTCAGACCCCGAGCCGTCGGAACCCGGTAGAGAAGCTCTGTGCGGTGCCGGAACCTCCCTCAAATGCGGACTTTAGGAAATCGGGAAGTTCACAAATCGTCAGCACTTGGTCGACATTTATTGGCCTAAAAAACGAAAGAACCGGAAGATGACCTTAAAAAACGTGGAGGTACTTTAGCTTCAGTAAGGTTGCCTCAATATCGCAAGAAATCTTGTATATAGTATTCAGCCACTGCCCGGTCTTCGAAAGATGACGTCACCTAGTACGCTAAAGCTCAACCAGAGCTACGCTGTCTGCCCTCAACTATAATGGCGGTGCTGTCTGATTTGGCTTCTTTCCCCTAAAGATGATGGCCGCCCAGCGGCTTCATTTCGTTTCTCACCACCCTGAAAGAAGGAGTCTAGCGATTGGGTGGCGCAGGGAGTTTGAGGGAAGAAGGCCCCTAGTGGTTGGGCAGTGTTAAGGGAGTCTGGTTTTAAAGGAGCCGGTCGTGGGAGCTGTCGAAAACGAGATCCGCGGGAGGTGGCGGTGAGCGGCGCGCCGGGGAGCGCGCGGGGCGGCAGAAGGAGAGGCAGGAGTGGGAGCGAGGATACATTTGAATCACCTGGTTCCGGGCTGTGGGGACGCTGGGCGGGGATTCAGACAGGGCGAGTGTGGGACGGTGTCTGTGGGCGGGACCTCTCCCAGGTCTGAGGGAAGGGGTATCTGCTTGACAGTGGATCCCCCGGGATCCAGACTGAGCTCTGCGATGCTCAAGCTCGGGCCGCCCCCATTTGAGTAGAGCTTTGCCCAGCCGAAGCTCACAGTGGGAGGAGAAACCTCTCGCGGCGTCTGATTGGAGGAGCTACGCTGTAGGATCCTTTTTGCAGTGATCCAGTCTAGGGCGTGGGGGGGCGTCGCTGCGAGGAGGAGTATTGCTTTGGAGTCCTCGGCCACTTGTTGGGAGGGGAGGAGGATTTCAGAGGGATTCAGCGGAGACGGAGCTTCCCAGAACTGGGATCCCAGCGGATCCCGGGGGAATCTCAGTGCAGAATCTGCAGGGACAAAGGCCTCGGGAGGCTCGGGCCGTGGGAGAACTTGGGCCTCGGCAATCCAGATTCTCGTGGCAGGTGCCAGGCAGGGCGCGAGTGATTTGATCCAGGCCGCGGCAGCGAGAGGACACCCTCTCCGGCAGCCAAGTCGGGGGCGCCGTTGCCTTGCCTCAGGGCTCGGGCCTGTAGGCTACCCCAGCTGCCGGCGGACCATGAAGGGCGGAGCCCTTGGGGAGGAGCTGGCCCTCACTCTGCGCTCCCCTGCTCCCCCCTCATCCCAGGCTGCAGCCTGGGATCCCCCAGGGACCCCCTGAAGCCGCAGTTTCCCCCATGGACTTGCCTGGGGACTCCAGGTGAGAGCGCACCCCGCCCACCTGTCTTGAGCCGGGAGACTGGGATCTTGGTGGCCCGTACTGGGAAACTACAAAGCAACTACAGGTTCAAGCAGCTGTCTTCTGCTTCGTTCACTCTCCAGCCCTTCTGGCCGGTCGAGTCTGTGCCGTCAGCCCTTAGCTCGAGCGTTATGGGACGCCAGGAGTCCAAAGCGACGGAGGCTGCAGCCCCAGGGGGCCCCTTCACCCCTGGAAAAGGCCTCTCGGCGGGTCCTGGCCGTGGTACTGGAAGATGTCATGGCTCCCAACATGGTGAGCCCCCTGGACTGAAAGACCTTTTTCCTCAGAATCTCTCCTCAGTACCAAAGTTATACCTGTTGAGGAGACAGAGGCCCAAATCATTCTCATGCCCATCAGCTAGGCAGCTTCCCTGACCCTGGAGCCTGTATGGCTCCCACTTACTCCAACCCAGTTGGCCAGAACCATGTTCCTATAATTCTTTTTTATATATTTACATATTTTATTAAAATATACATACAGATTCATACCATGCCTTTTCTGTACTATGACTCTCACCTTTCCATTTTATTGAATCTTCATGCTGTCATGTTTGTTGTCTTTGGCTTTTTTGTTGTTTTGTTTTTTTAGTACTGGGGATTGAAATCAGGTCCTTGTGCTTGCGAGGCAGGCAGCAGAACCACTGAGCTAAATCCCCATCCCATGTTGTTATTTTTTTAGAATATGTTTGCAGTACAGGAGCTTTACATTCATCTTAGAAGTAGGTGCGTGTACTTAAATAACTAAATCCTTTTTATTCCCCTTCCCCATCCATCTCCCTCCCTCCATCTTTCCCCTTTTTCCATTAGATATTCCTACAATTTTTCTGTTTTTTTCCTTTGAGAAACTTACTGTGGTAGTTGACTCCAATGCACAGGTGAGAAAAACTGAGGCACCCCCCCCAAATGAGGCAGGACCTACCTAAAGTAATCCTGTTTCATTCTCTAAAACAGCCTGGATTGAGAAGATTACTCACAACCCACACCTGCCACTCAGGACTCTAATAACCAGCCTCTGATTCAGACCATCTTACCTCTTAGGGGGCCTGAGTGAATTGGGGCCATGATCTCTGTCACTTTTGTGGCTAACAGGATTATTAGGCACAAGGAAACCCTATTTAGTCCAACCTCATTCCATCACCCTGCTTGATATTTCTTCTTCTCCTAGGCCTCCCTATCCCTATCCCCACAAAAGGAGATCTCCGCGCCATGGGGCCACAGCAACTACCACAATTCTGTCTGTAACCAGTCACCCGCCTCACCACCCATTCAGGCCAAGTGGGCTTCTCAGGCCAGGTGAGCACTGAGGGATGGGCAGTAAGCCAGAGATGTCATTGCTGAGCCCACTGATCTTCCTGTTCCCTCACCAGGCCTCCTGACTCATTGCATTTATGCAGAGAGCCCTTAAGTCGAATCCACCGGTCCTCTGCTACTCTGAGGAGGCGATCAAGGGCAACCCCTGGCTCCGAGGGCAGTCCTCCACAGAAGGTCAACCGGGGCCCCCAACCCACCCTGGTGGTGCTGCTGGAAGATATTGCTGCTCCCAGGCCCAGGGCAGAGGTATGAACAGGGTGAGGATGTCAGGGGTCCAACTAGGACAGGCACTCCAGTCAGGTGGAAGACAACATAGGAAGCCTGAATTGAGTAGATCTCTCGGGGCAGCATGACAGCATGGCAGGTGGCAGACACTGCCTTGGCAAAGATTATATAAAAAGTCTTTGGTGTGAACCCGAGGCGGGTAACTGAGGACTGAAAGAGTCAGGACATGGCGAGCTAGGGAGTCCAATGAGGGCTTCCCTGCCTCTCCACAAATACCACATATTTATTTCTAGGGCTTCCTGGATGAGAGACCCAACTTCATCATGCCAGCACAAAGGTGAGAGCTGGGGAAGGGACTGTCAGGGTATTCATGCCACAGCCATCACCCAGGTAACCAGAGCTAAGGGCTTCAGGATTTAAGGGTTCTTCCTGGTAGCTCCTTCAGAGGCCTTAGGAATGGGGGAGGTGCTGGCCTAGGAGGGAGCTGAACCTGGAAGCCCCTAGCCTTTACCTTGCTCCTTCATTCCAGAGCTGAGCCTGTGGTAATGGTTCACCAGTCAATGCCTGCACCCAGGGACCTAATTCCTCCATTCCAGCCATCCACCCTGCCTGTAGATCATCTGGACAGCCTGCCACCAGCTAAAAACTCAGGTAGAAGGATGATACTGGGAGTCTAGAAAATCCTAGTTGTTTTGTTTTGTCTTTGCCACAGGGACTAGCTATGTAGTCCACACTGGCTTGGAACTTATACGTAGCCCAGGCCTGTCCTTTAACTGACAGGGGTCTTCCTGCCTCTGCTTCCCAAGTGTTGGGTTCACAGGCATGTGCTTCCATATACAGCTCCTAGTTGAGCTTGTGTCAGGTGCAGAGGTAGGGGTGGGATTGAGTCCCCAGCCAGAGCAGAATATTGTAAGTAAAAATGGGATTTAGCCAAGGCTTAGGTTCAGCTCCTAACTATAGAACTTAAGGGTTTTTTTTGTTTCTTTTGGTTTTTTTTTTTCTTTTTTTGGTACCAAGAATCAAACTCAGGACCTTGTGCTTGCCAGGCAGGCATGACAGGACTTAAGTTTTAGCAATGGGCTTATTCCTCTGTGGATAAACATTAGTGTTTAGGGGCGGGGCTTAGACACCTGCAGCTGAGGAATGCCTACCTGTAACTTTCCTTCCCTCAGCCTCAAATCCTGCTCTGGATCCCCCATCGACCCCGCCACCGTCCAGCCTTTTACGCCCCCACCTCAGTCCCTGGGGCTTGGCTCCCCTCTTCCGCTCTGTCCGATCCAAGCTGGAAAGTTTCGCTGACATCTTCCTCACACCCAACAAAACCCCAGAGCCCCCACCCCCCTCCCCGCCCATGAAGCTGGAGCTGAAGATTGCCATCTCAGAGGCAGAGCAGTGCAGGGCTATTGAGGGCACTGCATCCATCAGCCCCCGGCCCCCCATCCACCAGTGGCGGGCTCAGGACCACAGTGTCCCCGCACCTCTCCCTAGACTCACTCTGGGCCGAAGCCACTCCTGCCCTGACCTGGGGCCCCCTGGGCCAGGTACCTGCACCTGGCCCCCTTGTCTACCCCAACCAAGCCGGCCTCGGCCACGGCGGCACACTGTGGGTGGTGGGGAGATGGCCCGAGCCCCACCACCCCCTCTGCCCTGTCTTCGGAAAGAAGTCTTCCCTCTCGGGGGAGTAGGAGCCTCCCCTTCTCGAGCCACATCTTGCTCGTCCACTGCATCCACTTCCTCCTTCTCCGAACCAGCAGAACTCAGGTAGTGAACCCTCCCTCAATGAACCCTCCCTGAAGCCCTGGTCCCAACCAGAGCCTGGCTGCCTCTCAGAGCCCACTGGGCAGGAGATGGGAATAGAGCTAGGAATCCTGTTTGCTACTGAGCATTGACTTCTCTGTAGGTCGGGCTCAACCAAGGGGAAGGAGCCAAGAGCCTCAAAGGACCAGGTGCTTTCAGACCCTGAGACCAAGGTAGGAGTACAGGTGAAGGGAGGACATGGGGCCCTGGGCCCATGCCATCCTTTCATCCTGACATTTTTTTGCAGACTATGGGAAAGGTTTCTCGATTCAGAATACGCAGGACACCCACTCGTCCTCAACTAAATCTTACACCAATGGGGCTGCCTCGGCCAGTCAGGTGAGGAGCTCACTGGGCAGGGTGCTGCCTCGGCCATCTTTCCCAGAGCAGGGCTTTGTCTCCTCTGAGGCTGGACAGTCTAGCTGGGAGATTTAATTTGATGTGGTTTGTGCTTAGAGCTCCCTGTCTGCCTCAGATAGCACTTCTGGCATGTCCCAAAAACTAAAATACAGCCTAGGGGGCTGGGGATATATCTCAGAAGCACTGTGCTTGCCTGGCAAGCATAAGGTCCTGTGTTCTATCCCTGGTACAAGAAATAATAATAATAAAAATAAAAATAAATAGGGCTGGGGGCAGGGGGATTTAGCTCAGTGGTTCTGCCACCTGCCTCTCAAGCACAAGGACCTGAGTTCAATCCCCAGTAGCCAAAAAAAAAAGGCTTCACCTATCCCTTCTTCAAGCTCTGTTAGCCTGAGGTTTCCTCATTGGCCTCTGTTCTGTTCCCAGATTGAACAAGAAAGAGTTCAGCTTGGAAGAAATTTATACTAACAAGAATTATCAGTCACCCACAAGCAGGAGGTGAGAAACTTGGAAGGCTTGAGGGTGGTGGGGGAAGGCTGGAACCAGGGGGGATGTTGGTTAACAGATTCCTGCCTGGTCTAGGACCTTTGAGACCATCTTTGAGGAACCACGGGAGCGCAATGGAACTCTGATTTTCACCAGCTCCAGGAAGCTCCGCCGGGCTGTAGAATTCCGGGACAGCAGCCTTCCTCGAGCCCGCCGGCCACCCCGTGGGGTTAGGGCTACAGCTGGCAGGACTGTTACTCCCACCTTAGCTCCCAGCCGGGATGTGGGACCTCTGCTACAGAAGCGGCTGGAGGAACTAGATGCCTTGCTACTGGAGGAGGAAAAAGTGGATGGGGAGAGGCCCCATCAGTCCTAGGAGCTCCATCGTCTACTGCAGAGGGAAGGCAGTGTTTGTCCATCTCCCAACAGAGAGGGGAAACCTCTGAGGCACTTATATATTTTTTTCTCTATATTTCTAGTAAAATTTTCGATATGTTTCTGATTTTTTTGTCTTTAGCTGAATTTGAGATTGGCCATACTGGCTGATGTGTTTATATGTTGATCCCCCTCACAGGTCTGAGAAAAGGGAGTGGTGCCAGGGAATATGAGAGGTATGGGGAAAAAGAGGAATGGTTATTGGAAAGTCTCTCCTGATTTGAGAATTCTCCTTTATGGAACGGTATTTATGAAAAAGCACCTGGTCAGGGTCCTTCCAGTTCATTTATGTAAAGGAGACAGTCTGGCATAGTGTTACACTGCCTGTAATCCCAGCTACTTGGGGAGGTTTAGGCAGGAGGATCCCAAGTTTGAGCCCAGAATGAGCGGTTTAGCAAGACCCTGTCATAAAACAAAAAAGGCTGGGGATGTATGTAGCTCAGGGCCCCTAAATTCAATCCCCAGTACCACAAAAAGAAAAGGAAGAAAAAATCAAACAAGACTAAAAGGCTCAAAGTACACCAAGGCCTAGATGAAGACCTAATGCAGGATTCAAGAGCGAAGGACAGCAGCTGGACAGGACAGCAGCTGGACGGGACAGCCCTGTGGAGCCGCGGAGCGGGCAACAGGGATCTCGGCAGGGACCAGAACAGCGCTCTGCAGAGGGAGGAATTATTTAGAGAATTATTTACAAACGAATCACTCGGAGAGCACGCGGCACACAAGCGCAAGGTGCTTTTGTGCTTGCTGGTGCTCAGGACGCGCAGGCCAGCAGCTAACCCCAAGAGGGGCACGGACGCCGCCGCACCGCGGCCCCTTCCCGAGAGGGGGGGGGGCACGCGCGGAACCCGGGTCCGCGGAAAGAAGAGGCTGGGCCACAGAACATTTCCCAATGGTGCGCCACCCAGCGGGCAACTGCCCTCTAAGACTGACACCACATCCCAGTCCGTAGCCAACTCCGCGTTGACGTCGTCATTAGGCGGCCAATAAACACAGAGCAGGAAGAGGCGGGCTGCGTGGGACACCGCCCCAAACGCCTACTTCTAATCAGTGCAGTCACAAGACTTGAGGAAGGGCGGGGCTAGCTGACACCACCCAATCAAAGACTTGGGGGGGCTATATATTCCCCTCCCTCGGCCTGACCCCGCCCTCCACCTGACATATGAGTACCTCTTACCCTATCAACGACTGCATCTGCGGGGAGAGAAGGCGGGGAAGGGGCGGAGAGGAGGCAGCGAGAGGAAGGAGGCGTAGGCCGAGGAGGAAGAGGGAGGAGGGGTAGGAGAGTCCAGGCGAAGAGGAGGCCCACGACGCCAACGGAGACGACGGGAGGGTGCGCGGCGCTGGACTTTTTCCCGGTGCCCAACGGCTGTTCCAAATCCCCTAAGGCACAAGTCAGACGGAGAAAAGCAGGAAGAGACTTTTATGTCGGCGGACTGAGAAGGTGTACCCGTCACCGTTGCCTCACATCCGGGGCTTTGGAGGGCTGGCCCCCGCAGCCCCGCCCCGCTTCGCGCCTTTCACGGCGACCGGAGGCGGAGGCTGGTGTAGCTGGTCCAGGAGGAAGCCCCTTTAAATCTTCTTAAAGGGGTGGTCACCGAACTGGGCCGACTCTAACGCCAGCCTTAAAGGGGAAGCCGTCGAACAGAAGCTGACAAATTGAGAACTGGGCTGTTAGGAGAATTGGAGCGACTGGGGTTTCCCACCTCTTTTCCCCTCCCACGCCAGAAGTCCTTTAAATTCAGCTTAAAGGGGAAGCGACCGCTTGTGGTGGACTAGAAACTAACTCACGAGCCCTTAAAGGGACGGCTGCTGTTTGAAGGATCCTGGCCCCCTTAAAGGGGTGGTGTCTTTTAACCGGAGGACTGGAGATACTTTTAAAGGGGAGGTTTGCGTTTCGGGTCGAGCTTTCGGCCCCTTTTAAAGGGGTGGCCCTTCCTCTTCTCGGGAGACTCGCTTCGACCCCTGGCAGGGGGCGGCTACCGCTCTGGGCCGCCGGACGCGGTTGGGTCGTCTTAAAGGGGCCGGGGGCGGACAACTTGCGGCCTCGTCTTTAACCGGAGGACTGGAGATACTTTTAAAGGGGAGGTTTGCGTTTCGGGTCGAGCTTTCGGCCCCTTTTAAAGGGGTGGCCCTTCCTCTTCTCGGGAGACTCGCTTCGACCCCTGGCAGGGGGCGGCTACCGCTCTGGGCCGCCGGACGCGGTTGGGTCGTCTTAAAGGGGCCGGGGGCGGACAACTTGCGGCCTCGTCTTTT